TGTGTTGGTGAGGTGGCGGTCGCATTATGTATTTGAAATTCAGTGTGTGTAGTGTGTGTGCGCGAGTTACTAAACGACTGCCTTTCTACGTGTTTTGGATCAGAGACCATATAACACAAATGGTCTCTGTTTGGACAGAGTATATTTTGGGAAGAAAGGGTTGGTTGGGGGGTAAAAACAAACATGGATGGTGAGCAACCTGTCGATTTACGTAATTAATTTGGGATATATTTGATTTGTGACTCGGTTTCCAGTGTCACAGATTGACGTTGTGGAAGTGTGCGAAATAGCCACTGGCCCGCTAGCCCGTGGTTAGTAAAAATCCAGTCGGGCCAGTAAATTTGCACAGTCACTGGCCCGACTGGCTCGTGAATATTCATGGGGTCATTTTGTAAATATATCACGCTCTTCGACTTATTAAGTTATAAAACACTTTTAATTCATGCAACATTATGGCCTGATAAAAATGTTCATCATATTAGCAGCTTAATGGTGAAACCCGTGTCGTTCCGACAATATCTTATTCTCATCTATTTTGGTAATCTTTTTGTTTAGTTTCTGCATTCAAATTTGGGGCTAGTGAACTATTTTGTGGGCTAGTAACTTTCAGGCATTACTAGCCCGACTGGCCAACAAAATTTGGAAACTATTTCGCGTGCGTTGTGGTACCTATATTGTCAATTAAAGCTTTAACTCTCTGTGTCGAAAACTTATAGTGAGGCTCTTTAGAATGCATCCAGACAGCCTTCTACAATAATGTTGGCTTAAATGCTGGAATTGCGTCTGGGTCGCACAAATACGACAATCACAACACACTGATGAACATATATATAACAAATGCAAAATGTACAATCTAGTTGTACGCCGTATATTATGTTTCACAAGGGGAGAGCACTCTGACACACAGGAAGTACGTTGTAGATAGTGAAACCGGTGTCAACATGAGGAAAATGACGAATGTTATCTGAAGTGAAACCAGAATACCGTCCTTGATGTAAAATATAGTAAGGTTATTTTGGAACATTGTAAACCGGAGTATTTACCAAAACCTTTCGGTTTTAGGGACAATACGTCAGTATGTTCAAATTGTAACAGGTTGTTATTTACTTACTTAGGAAAATGGAAATTTACAAGCTGTGTAACCTGGTTACAAACCGTGATGGCGGAACCAGGGCTACAGCAATACATTTCTATGACATGTATGGTACAAGTAGCGATACCATTCACGAAAACTGAACGAAACGTGCCAAATGAGTCCTAAGTGAAATCGAAAAACTGCTGGAGATCCAACGTTTGTCCAATATGTCAAAAACTATTGTCATCCTGTTATGGATTTTTGGACTATAAGAACATCTGTTGTTTTTTCACATATGTACAATTGTAAAACACGTCACTTGCTTATTAAAGACAAATAACCACAAGCCTTCATCCAAGTTTTTTACCAGGGTATGAAAGTCCGAAAAATTTCAGCCAGACCACAGGGCTGGTTAGATGTAAAACTTGCCAGACCTGACCAAAACTTACCTGCCCACAAAATATCTTCATATATACATATTTAAATTTTAACCCATCTGGCTAATTGGTCGGGTGAATTTGAGAATCTCAGAGCTACAGATAACTTTTTGGTTCATTGATTTATGTACTCGCTTGTGTTCATCTCAATTGGGTATTCTAATTTTCCTTTGAGTAACCAAATAAATTGTACCCACCTCACACAAACTCAATTGGGTATTTAAAAAGTTTTAAATGTTGGTTTCCGTGTTTTTTTATTTATATTTGATCTGTAATATGAGAAACGATAAGAAAGTTGCCAAGTTCATGTGCTGAAATAGAACCTCTCAGTATACCTCAGTTATTTCATCGATCCTCAGTAACCTCCATCTGTAGCAGGGCGGTGGGGTAGCCTAGTGGTTAAAGCATTCGCTCGCCACACCGAAGACCCGGGTTCGAATCCCCACATGGGTACATTGTGTGAAGCTCATTTCTGGTGTCCCCCGCCGTGATATTGCTGGAATATTGCTAAAAGCGGCGTAAAACCAAACTCATTCACTCACTCACTCCATCTGTAGCACATGGGTCTGCTTACCCCCAATTCTAGTAGGTTTGGTAACAGAACCTAATTCACCCGGTACGCAAGCTAAAATTTGACATTTTTGTGTGTATGCATGTAAGATCAAATTTATCGAGTATTTACAAAAATAAATGCGTAATTGTACGCAAAAGACTTAATAGGAATTGAGTTTTCACATAAAAATATGCGTAATTTACGCAGACACCCAGCTTATCTGCACCTCTGGAATCTGGTAGTCCGTCTTGGAAATAACCCGTCCCGGGCGGTTGGGCAGGCAGGTATTTCGAACGCTGTTTTTACAATGTCTGTGAGTCAACCCACCCAGTTATAAGGAGCAAACACTGCTGTTCAAAAACCAATGGTCAAATGATAGATTTACCCTAATGGTAATTTCAAGCCAGACATAATTATTGCTGGCTTTGGAATACATGTACACTGGCTGATGACACTGGTGAGTGAGTTGGGTGTTACTCCACTTTTAGCAATATCATGGCGGGGAACACCAGGAATTGGCTTCACACATTGTACAAATGTGGGGAATCAAACCCAGGTCTTCGACGTGATGAGTGAATGCTTTACCCGCTAGGCTACCCCACCGCCCCAACATGTTATGAACACTAAGGCTGAAAAGATTCACTCGCATATTCGCTGAATCGAACCGTAGCCCTTCATGAATTCAATTCGTTATTCGTGGTCACCAGAACCGAATATTAACGACTATTTTTGATTTTTTTAAGGCAGCATGTTTTACTTGAACCCTTATGTCCTTTCCAAAGTGAGATATGCAAGAATGGAACATGTACTAGCATTGCAGTAGTGCAAGTCATGTTAGTTTGCCAAGACTGCACATGGTACTGTCGACTATAACTATTACATACCAAATTGGAGTGTCATGAGATCACTGGTTATTGCTATGACAAATCAAAACTGTCAACATGGACGTTCCATAAAGTGCATCAATCACTTAACTACAATATTATATTCGTGAATAATCATTCGTATTCGTTAAAATTCATGATACGTATCATATTCAACATTCATGATGGGCGGTATCATATTCACCACATAGTGTATTGCTGAAATATTGCAGCCCTAAACTCAGTGTCAGTCAACACTGGTCAATGTTCTCCATTGACACGAGACATTCTTTGTAATATCAACAACTGCTTTGTCTGGCCCAGACTGGATAAAAAACAGGCTACAATGATATCAATTGAAAATTGCTGAATGACGTAACAGAACATACAAACATGGATCTACTCCATTATCTACCCAATTTCTGTTTGTAGTATTTGAGTCTGTGTTCTTCTTGTTCCAGGTGCTGTTATTGCTCAACATGATGTAAATAGTTGCTACAGTTGCTGGTGAAGACCTTTATATAATGGTGATTTCTCTCAATTACGAGGAGTATTTCGACTCATTAAAGATGCCGGAAATAACACTGATGAATCTTGTGAGCTGGATTGCTGCCTCAGCCATGATATTTGGTGGTGTGGTGCCATTCATTCCTCAGTATATGGATATACGAAGGACCAAGAATGCTGAGGGATTTTCTCTCTTTGTTTGTTTGACATTACTGGTGGCCAACATTCTGAGGATAATGTTCTGGTAAGACAGCTGGGTTGAATGAACTTTCAATGATGATTGAAATTGTTCTTAGTGTGTATGCTTGTTTTGTCTGTGTAACCATGGTTACATGTCCAACAAGAAAGTCAACTTGAAGACCCTATTACTCAGCCATTTATCAGTCATCTTTGTTCAATAAGCAGTGTAATGTGTTTCTTTTGAAGTTTGTAGTTATTCAAAACATATTTGTTCTAGTTTTATTCAGATACTGGTATTTACATTTTTTTTCTAGTTTTGACCATGACAATTCATTACACTTGGAACATTGTTCCACAATGATCAACACTGCCGCATAACAGATCAAACAGTTTGATCTCTTGTCTGGTTGGTCAGATCTTTGACTCGAAAAAAAAGAGGATCTGACTTGGTATAATTATAATACAGTCATCCATTGCTGTAACGCAGTCATCCATTGACCCGACATATATAAGACACCTGCATTATCTTGTGCATCCAGATAACTTTTGGATGACCCGACATAGTATAAGACAATTTTCCTTTGAGTAAACAAATAAACATTATACCAGTCAAACTCAATTGGTATTAAATTTTAAAAATACAAAAAGTTTTAATGTTAATGTTTGTTATTTATATTTGATCGAATATCAGGGCTGAAAGACTGCAAGTAACTTCATGTCCTGAAATACCTACCAGCCTATCCAAATAGATTTTTGACATTTTCGTGTATGACCAAATCACATGGTGAATTTAAACTTCAAGATGTTATAATGCTAATAGACTTAATAGGAATTGAGTTTCTAAATTTGCATAATTACCAGACCATCGGCCTATATTAAATAAGTAAACTTCCAGCCACATGAGGGCTGGTAACTTCTAAATATTACCAGCCCCAAATGGATTTAATCAGACCAAATATGGTGAATTTACTCAGATGTTATGGAATATCTAAAAAAAATTACCATACCATTGGGCTGGCTAGCTGTAAATTTAGACCGTCCGTCAGAAATCTAGACCATTTGGGCGGTCGGACGCGCCTTATTTCATTCACTGATTATACATATATGGCATAAAGGCCAAGTAATATCATGTTTTTTGTTGATAGTTTATTTTGATAGAATTACTGCTATTTTGTGTACTTAATTACAGCTTTCACCAAAACCACGTTCTACAGGTTACGATTCTTTTAAGCATTTTTACTTGAACCCTGTCCTTTTCATTGCTATGCAAGTTGGAACATGTACTAGCATTGCAGTAGTGCAGTATCATCATGACTTTCACCATGCCAAATTGATGGTTGAGATCACTGGTGTGTGTGACAAATCGCATGGGCAATATTGCATAAGAGTGAGATCATTTCATCCAAACCTAGGTATTTTCATGGGTGAGTGACCTTTACATGGTATTGTGTTGCCTTGGTTTTCTTTCACCATGCTCCACCTATCACGAACGTCAGGGTAAATTTCATTTACATGGTGTTCAAAATGTATGGTACTCAACGTTTCTGTGGGATATTTCTATTTGTGGCATTACAAATATTCACCAAAGTCGTTTAGTGTGTCTCTTTTATGATAAATACCCTGGACATATTTTGCCACTGAAGCTTTATGTCACCTTCCGTTTCTAGTTTTATTTCATCATCCCTCTCTCTTTGACCATTTTTCCAGAATATTTCCTGTTTATAAGGCCACCTGCCTTTGGGGTTTCTTGAGGACAATAATAAAAATAAAAATTAAAACAAAAAATATAAAATTCTAATGTGATAAGTGAAATCAGTGTGAAACCTAAACTCACTAATTTTTAGGATATAAACAAACCATAAGAATTAACATGGAAGCTCATGTGGGTTTTGCTTTGACTTGGATTTTACTTTATTTTTTCCCTCCTGCCTTTGTTTTCTGAGGACAAAACTCTGTAAAACAAGAAATAAAATTGGTCTGGCCTAAGGTTAAATACAACAATTTAGAAGGACTCAACTTTACCTGTCGATGTAGATTCTTGATATTTAGTAGCAGGATAATATTTTCCTGAGTATAAAATCGGGGAGTGAATACCTGTGCTTGCAGGCTTTCACAGGTGTGAGTTTGGTATTGAGGAAATCACTTGTTTCAGACACAACTGGGTAATTTGATTAGATTGCTAATTTCAAACCGGATTCAAAACAAGGCAGTGAAAAAAGACTCAGAATGTTTGTGAAAATTTAATGGAGGGATGATGATAATAAAGACAGTAGAGTGGATGCTATTTTCTTTGCTTGGCTTGTAACCATGGTAACATGTTCAACCCGATAACATTATCACAAGACACATCCCCACACAGAATGAAGTGGCCTATGAAATAATGATGGATTGATTAGATTGGGATATTTTGATGAAAATGCAGTGAAATTTATTTATGTAAACAAACTTAGTTTTTGTTTTGAGTTGATAATGTCTTCAACTGCAAGGCATACTGAGTACAATGTATTGTCCAGAGTGGACGTCCTATTAAGCTGTGTGACATTATTTAGTTCTTGCATATAGGTCATATAGTTTTGTATCTGAATTTTAAGACAGGAATTTCAATTTTCAATTAATGGAAATGTTATGTCAGTTATCTTTGTGTTTAACAAGTTTAGTCAGTGTATATCAGTGTGGGATTAAAGGGTACTTGTTACTTTTTACTGACTGTCTCCGTGAATCTCTCTTATCCTCCTTGTATGATCGCAACAAAAGTGTGCAGCTGTTATTACAAGACTCTGTGCATGGTTTAGGAATGTTAGTGAGTTTTCAGAAGGTTTACAGCTTACGTACTATATTTCCGACATATTTATGTTTGTCTGTTGAGGGGCGGTGGGGTAGCCTAATGGTTAAAGCGTTGGCTCGTCACGCTGAAGACCCGGGTTCGAATCCCCACATGGGTACAATGTGTGAAGCCCATATCTGGTGTCCCCCGCCGTGATGTTGCTAGAATATTGCTGAAAGCGGCGTAAAACCAAACTCAGTCAGTCAGTCAGTTGTCTGTTGAATCTGTCTGGATTGCTGCCGAACGGAAAAGCTCCTAACTTACCCCTTTTATTCTTATTATTCCATAATTACAGATCATTATGATGAATAGAAATTGACTAATTAAAAAAACAGTTTAGCTAGTGGAAGAGTTTTTGGTGCCATGACAGTGATCACTTGTTTGTAAACGTAATGGTCAGTTGGTTGTTAGATCAGCTCCATACATGGTTGTTGCCGTCAGCGATGACAGGGAGCCTGGTATCGGTGATAGTATAGAGAGCTCTGCGCATGGTTGTTGATGTAAGGAGCTAGCTGTTGAGCCCTGGGCTGTCCAAAAGTCTGGCTGTCAAATTGTTGGCTGTCCAAGATGCAGCATGTGGGATAATTTATGTCAGTCAGAACATCTGAACTTACATACTTAGGCAGATGGCTGCTGCTGTATGCTGTTGCTGCTTGTTTCATTCATGAAGGAATATAGGATTTGATTGGATGATTATATTTAGCATAGTGTCTTACAAATCGGACTGAAGCTTTGTTAGTGAATGGGTTGATGGTATTAATCATGATTCGAGATCTGGTACACTTGATCAAAGAGGATGAGTGTCATAGTGAAAATGTCTTTGTTCATAACCAAAATTTACCATGAGATAGGCCTGAATTGATGAAATCAAGTTGTGCAACTTTCACGGGTACACCCATGTAGCTATTGTTTCCAGAATCCTGTCATTTGTTCTTCAGCCTTTGAAGTTCACTGCGACTTGTGTATTTCATTGTGAATGGTTAACATTTATTTATTAAAAATACAGCTGCGAGTTCTGATATTTTTTCCTTATGCATAGAATTTGTTTTGAGCATGTAACTCTAAAACTAGCATGTACCGGTACTCATAGTTATTTTAACCTCTGCATATCACCAGGGCTCACATTTCAATATACCTTCCAGTCCTCGATATCACCAGGGCTCACATTTCAATATACCTACACTAACACCTAAATCCATGCTCTTGTGATCTCAAAAAGCTCACCTTGTATTGTACTGACCAATCAAACGTCAAGGCTTGTTAAAAGGAAAATGGTAAGGGAGAACTTGAGACATCTTTTCGGTCAGAATTTTTTAGGCCTTTCTTTTGCATATCTGTCAGGTTTTCAATGTTGAATTTCTTGCAAAGCCTTGTAAACAGTGGGACTGGTAACAAGATTGTTGATATCGTCACTATAATTTTGTAACTGTAACTCACATTTTGATTTCTCTGTAAGGCTGGTAAGTGTAGAAAATCAAACTGATTGTTGAAAAACAAGGGCAGGTAATTTGAGTTTACAAGAACGACAGAAATGGCTCATGGTATCAGTGTGGGTTTATGACAATGTGAGATACGGATGTTTGTTGTAAATGCCGCACTCAGCAATTTTCCTTTGTGAAGCCCATTTCTGGCGTTCCCCTCCGTGATATTGCTGGAATATTGCTAAAAAGGACATGAGACTAAACTGACTCACTCAGCAATTATCCAGCTATATGACAAGGATGGGTTGATGAAGATGAATTCTAGCCCGGATCTTCATGGATGATGAGATATGGAGACTTGGAGGATGCCAAGTTGAACCTGAAATATCATGTTAATGTTAAATCATCATGTCTAGTGGTTGGTTATCATTAATTAGATATTTTCATTATAATGTATAGCTGATACTTTCACTGTTTGAATGATAGAACTGCTGAAACATAATTAGTCCAAATGGTTTTAGTCTAGATCTACTGAAATGCAAGCCATTTTGTCCATGGTATGCAAGGTGGGGTCACTTACTTGAACAGTGGGTATTGTGGCCGATCCCATACACATGCTTGTCAAAATCGAATCGGGGTCATACTAGAAGGACTGCAGGGGTGCTCTGCATGATGTGTAATTCTAATGGGGGTGCTTATTAGGGAGTGGGTGCTGAATATGGTCATATTGTATAGATACAGAAGTGAGGGTTGAGGTCTGTTCAAACTTAATATAGTGGTTGTGTCCTTGCAATAACCATGATGTTAAAAAATTAGGGGTTCCAGGTACCAAATACAGAAAAATTCAATAACCCAAGGCACCTATTGATTTAGAACACAGGATAAGTGCTTAATTTTTACAAGATGATGTATTCATTGTATAAGTGTTCTGTAAACCAAAGTAAAAGGGCAGACAGAATAGTTTATTTACATCTCACTCACACAAACATAATACATTTAAGTGATACAATATATAAAAGCGACCAATCGCAAAGCGATTTATGAGAGATGTTACACATAAGAAGACAATCCTTTGTACAATGTAAAAACACGTAAGTATATAAATCTTAAGAATGTGAAACACACCATAAAGTTATTTGTACAGTAATAAGCATGTATGTTCTAAAATATTCCAGCAGATTTTGCCTAAATTAAAAATAAACTCTTCACATGTAGAAATAAGGGCAAGTTGCTGAGGCGCTGTAAAATCAGTAAAAAAAGGAAATTTAACACAGCAAAGCTTTAGAAGATCACTTGTAAAACGTGTATATAGCGGACAGTTCAGTAAAACGTGAGCTTCATCTTCAACACAGGTTAAACAATTACAACAAAGTCTATTTCCTGCAGGGATGTTCTCATATCGGCCAGTCTCTATTTTCAAAAGGGTGACACCACATCTAAACTTGGATAGCGCACTTCAATGTTTCCTTGGCATGTGACATTAACTTCGCATCCATATTCGTGTTTAAAAGTCTTATACGTCCTCAGTTTTCTATTAGTATCTCCATTTAATGTATCCTTCAGGTCGCCCTGAAACTTGTAAGCATAGTTTGTTCCACTGTGCTAACTAAGAGTTAGATTAACTAAGGGTTTGATATGATGTGAGGATTTGGCAAGCTGTTGAAAAAACAGTGTGACCTCGTGTGTATCAACACAAGAAGGGTGAAAGGTGACAAAAACATTACAGGTAACAGGTGGTGAAAAGTGCAGGTGAACTGTAACCATGGTAACTGCATCTTCTGGTGTGACAACTGTTGTCTGATGAGGGGGGACTGTCTGCTGCAGTTGTCTGGGATTGTGTGTTTGTGTTTATGCAGATTCTAAACACTGGGAAGGCCCAGGTGGCCCACCTCATACATTGCTGGGTAGGACTCTTCTCTTCACCTTCTGCTCACCCACCCACTCACTCCTGCATGACATCTCACGAAACCTGCATGACGTCATGACACCTGCTTATGTCTCATTAGGGCTGTAATGATGTGCTTGATGTCCATTGAGGATGAAAGTCCAGAATGCTTGTCAAAAGCATAATATTAATGAGAAAGATTCGGGGGACCTTTGGAAGTACCTTTGACTATTTTGGGGATGGACAGATGGGATGTTTGTTAGTGACAGGACACACTACTCAACTTTTGATAAGGATAATCCATGATTGAAAACAATGAGTTTCCTATGTTGAATATACCTGTGAAGATCCGGGTTAATATTAGTCCTCAGCAACCCATGTTTGTCGTAAGAGGCAACTAACGGGATTGGGTGGTCAGGCTCGCTGAATTGGTTGCCACACGTCATCGTATCCCAATTGCATATAACGATGCTCATGATGTTGATCACTAGATTGTCTGGTACAGACTTGATTGTTTACAGACCGCCGCCATATAGCTGCAATATTGCGGAGCGTGGCATTAAACAACAAACAACCAGTCCAACCTATGTAAGATAAATATTGACACAGAATGACATGTTTACCCTGTCAAAAGATGAGTAGTAAGATCTTTTTTCCCTACGAGGGGCTGAAAACCTCTTAACAAATTGTTTTAGGGCTATTTAACCAATTGTTTCTAAATTCATTTCTCCCACCCCAAACCTATTTCATTCTTGAACTGAATGTTATGCCAATGTTATGGAGCTTCAACCTTGACAAAGTGTGTCAATACAGCACTACAGAACAGTCTTGCTTGTGGTGTGTCGGTCGCTACAGCTTTTTGTGGTCAACTAATTGAAGAAAAAACTTCATGGTCTGTTTAAAATATATTTATTTACTGACTTCATCTTTGATGGACATGGTCAGATAGGATGCTGCTGTTACAAAACTAATGTAAAATTATGGTAAGTTTTAAATGATTGTTTTTTTATAATTTATGTCAGAGGTGTTGGGCCCTGTGTCAAGTGCTCTTAGTGCTAAGACATATTTGATAGAAGACATTTGCCTAGCAAAAACAGATTAGAACTGAAAAGGTAAATAATCTTGTCTAGTGATGTTTAATTGCAAATTTGCAAAGTCGTTTTCTCTTGTTCGTTCACACAAAGCGATATGTGTTGTTTTCTTAACACCTGAAAAAAGTTTGACGAAAGTGTAACTTGTAGATAAGCCAAACCCCTTATACAGACTGCTTTTTTGGTCCTCAAAATTCGGCTTATCTATGGTCATATACGGTAAATGTTTCACCCAGCAATCTTAACGCTTATAAGATTGCAAGATAAGATGGTCTTTGTGCAAAGATCACTTTATGGAACCTCACTAGGGCACACTTGCTTACTGCAAGCAAACTGCTAAGACTATAGTAAGTTTATACTCATATTTCATTTGAGGGTTACCATGATCTTAGTACTAAGATCCATAGTGTAATCCAAAATCAACAGCAATAATGGAAAGTATTCACAATTTGGAATTAATCATATCCATGATATCTTATTCAAAATATTGTATAATATATATAATCATACCATCAAAATGAAAAAGATGTAAAACAGAAGCCTAAATTTGGAGAGAAGTGTATGAAAATAGAGACACTTTAATAGCTGATCATTGACTCCAGTTTTGTCCCATATATTTTTCCAAATACATAATCGTGATAATTTTGGTATTTTCTTTGAGTTTATTTATCACAGAGTTGCTGAATATAAATGACATGTGTGCCAGCACATTATTTCTAAAAACTACATACCTTCTTGTCTACAAGTGTCTGGTAATCAAGTCATAAGGGGAGGTAATCAAGACACAAGGGGAGGTAACCATGGTAACAATGTCTAATTTAATGCAATTTTTCAGGCACATGCCTGCTCACATTGAACTGAAACACATTCACTTTCTTCAATGTTTACCAGTCACTTGTAGGTAGTTTTCAAGAAAATAGTGTATTGCTTCTCCTGATCAACTCACTTGGTAAGCTGGTTTAATGATTCAATGTCTGCTTGGCTAAATCCAGGTCGTCTTGTCTGTATTTCATCATGAACATCTTGCATCGTGACACAAACATCTTGCATTGTGACAGAACATCTTGCATCATGACACCTGCCTGCTGCACATCCCGCCTAGTTTATGTTGCCCTGTCATACTTTCTGTTGCACCTGTCATCGCTTGCCCTGTCAGGTCTCTAACCGTCAATATCCATGACTGGATGTCAGGAGAAATGTTTCAGAAATTGGGAGGGTCATGTTAAAACTGGTCATTGTAGTTGTGTCACTGTACCACTACTAGGTACCCTTCAACATCCGGGTTAGAATTGTTCTCCAGCAACCCATGCTTGTCGTAAAAAGGCGACTAACGGGATTGGGTGGTCAGACTCGCTGACTTGGTTGACACATGGCATCATATCCCAATTGCATAGATCAATGCGCGTGATGTTGATCACTGTCTTATTGGGTGCAGACTCCTCGATTATTTACAGCCCGGCCATATAGCTGGAATATTGCTGAGTTGTAGCAGCAAGTTAATGTCAAAATCTTCTTTAGCAGCCCTGTTATGAACTGGGGGGTGGGGGTAATATCGGGACTGATGTGATCCCAAGTACCCATGTTTGTCAGACAAACACCAATTACAATGAGGTAGTGGAAGTGACATTGATCCTATGTTTTGTTTGTTGTTGAAAGCAACACGCAGCAATATATCAACTATATGACAGCAGTATGTAAAAAAATAGTTCCGACTTGAAAATCAAGTGATTGATATCATGAGCATGATAGGTTACCTCTTACAGTCAGAGTTTGCTGAATACCATGTGGTAGATGTTGACATTTTGTGTACCCACGAGCATGTGTATTTTAGTTCTATGCTACTTTTAGCAATATTCCGACCCGTGAAGGTCCGGGTTAGAATGAGCCTTCAGTAACCCATGCTTGTCGTAACAGGCGAACTTAACAACATGATCGGGTGGTCAGGCTTGCTGACTTGGTTGCCACATGTCATCGGTTCTCAATTGCGCAGATCGATGCTCATGCTGTTGATCACTAGATTGTCCGGTCCAGACTCGATTATTTACAGACCGCCGTCATACTGCTGAGTGCGGCGTAAAACTAAACCCACTCTCTCATTTAGCAATATTCCAGCAATATCACGGCAGGGGACATCAGAAATGGGCTTCACACATTGTGCCCATGTGGGAAATCGAACCCGGTCTTTGACATGACGTGCGAATACTTTAACCACTAGGCTACCCCACCGTACCCTTGTGTATAGTACTGACACACCTAGAAACTCGCTTAGGGTGAACGGAAACCCAGGATCACATCATTCTTATGTGCCAAAGGGACACAACTCTGGCTAGCAAATTACAGCACCTTAGACGACAAGGCCAGTTATGCCCCCATCTATGCAATCAAAATATGTAGATTATTACATGTAATTAAAAATATCTTAAGAATACAAATCTAAAAAACACGTAGAAGTTATTGAGATTGACAAATACAAATCTTGGAGACAGACGTCATGTCATGTTGGGATGCTATGACATTACAGTACAGTGAACCAACATGCTTAAAATAATGTCAAAATAGTCAAAACATTTGTTCGAATATACATTGATCACAATAATCATGTTAATATATAGTTAATGTGATACATATTCTAATAATTCAATAAGTTTTGTTGTAAATATTTTTATCTAATTCAGGTTCTTTATTACTCAAGGATTATTTTGAGTTGTGAGGAAAGTAGTTTCTTAATTTATCCCTTGTGGGCTTACAAATATGCAGTTGGGAAAAAAGACCCTTTAAATAAAGAAATAATCCTACTGTGAAAAGTCCAGTTGTTTTGAACAACACTTTCAACCAATCAGATTGCAGGATACAATTCACCTCATTTTACAATGTTGCTATGTGCATGTGTTGTATGTGTCAGACACAGCGCTGCTTGTGTGTCGAAAATTGTCTGCATTGTGTTCAGTATCACCTGCATAATTCCTGCATGCAATGAATGCTCTTTTTCAGATGAAATGTTTTAGATTATCTTCATTTTTCAGATTTGCGAAATCCCCATGTTTAAAATCAGATGTAATACAAATTATCTGTTTGTGTAAAACATATTAAATATGGTGCAATATATTTATTATCATGATACCGACATGCAAAAATATTAAGAATACATTCATAGTGGGTGTTTTTGTATTTTAACTGACATTGACTCTGAACCCAAAACATTGGGCCTGACCGGTTTGTTTTTTGTTTTACAGATTTTGTTTATATAAGTAAATAATACAGGACCTTTTTGTGGTGTAGAAGTTGTTTTCAAAACAGTCACCTTTACCTTCACTTTTACAGTGTTTTTTTGAAATAATAGCAATAACAAAAAGATTGTCACTGTATGTTTTCCAAAATGTCAAGCACTCCTTTTTGCTTTGTAACTTGTTAACCTCATGGTATCCAGTCTGTAGATTAAATATGAACCTGACCATTGATTGTATTGAATTATTTTATTAGTTGACAAAGTATAGTTCCATCATTAGTTGTAATGGAGATTTCTTTGATAAGTTTTGGTCAAACTGTCAAGCTTTGGTCAAGCTGTTGTATTGTTATGTGAAACTGTAAATGCTCTGGGAAAATACACACATTATCAAAAAATACCAAAATATTGAATTTAGAAATGAATTTGTCCTAGAATTTTTAAGTCCTTAAACTTGTCATGCATTCTCTTTTCATCAGATTTTGATCTTGACTACTTCTGGAAGTGGACAGACTTCCTGAGCTATGTTGAGTTCATGGCCACCTTCACGGTGGTTGTAGGGATGCTCACGTACGTCTTGCTGGATTTTACTATCTACATCGAGACCATCGGGTTTCTGGCTGTATTTGCTGAGGCCATGCTAGGGGCTCCGCAGTTCTACCGCAACTACCAGAATAAATCAACAGTAGGCATGAGGTGAGTTGGGGTTATTCTAACTATTCCAGGTCAAGGACACTGTGAAGGTCATTTGCAAAATATCTGTTTATTTTGCCTTTTATAATTGAAGTGTTTCATATGTTTCTATATGATATAGTGGTCTGCTAATCATCACAGATCTCTCTAATTCTGAAGCTGTTAGATGAACTTCAACAGGAGGTAGCTCTTAGTTGAAAACAAGTGATATTCCCTGGCTTTGCAGACCGTTGTCATGTTATTGGTTACCATGACATCACTCACTCACTCCCAATCTCATCTCTGATTTCTTTATCTGTGAAGCTGGTTAAATGTACTTTGAACACTAAAGACACAGGTTATTACTGTCAACAAACACAACAAGTTGTATTTTGTTGTACTAAAAAGTATCTATTGACTGACCGACCCGTGAAGATCCCGGTTAGAATTGATCTTCAGTAACCCATGCTGGTCATTAGTATAGAGGCGAGTCACGTGATCAGGTGGTCAGGCTCGCTGACTTGGCTGACACATGGCTTCGTAACCCAATTTGCATAGATCGATGCTCATGCTGTTGATCACTGGATTGTCTGGGTCAGACTCGATTATTTACAGACCGTCACCATATAGCTGGAATATTGTTGAGTGCGGCGTCAAACTAAACTCACTCACTCACATACCACTGACTGACCAATGTTTGTTTCTTTCAGCAAGAAGATGGTGGGTTTCTGGACAATGGGAGACATCTTTAAAACTATCTATTTCATCTTGAGGTCATCCCCAGCCCAGTTCTGGATCTGTGGGATGCTTCAGGTGTCAATTGACATGTCCATCTTCGTCCAAGTGTATATGTACCGCCATCATCCTCCAGGCAAGGTCATCAAGGCTGCCAGAAGCTGACCTTGACTCTAAGGTCACATGATTATACTTGAACTGTTCAAGGATCACCACTCAAACAGGCAGAAAGAAATGATAATGAAGAGATTTGATCAATCTTGACCACTGCAGTTCTTTTGCTGTATTTTAATACCTTACTGCATGAAGATCTACGGACACCTGCGTCAGAAGTTGCTTCAGGTGAACTTCTTATAAGCAGGTCCGCTAAATCTGGGCACAAGTGAGCTAAGTATTTAGGCTGATACATCCAATTTCTGATCTCAAAAACCGAACATAATCAGAGAGTTCCAAATGTACAAAAGTAAAACCGTGCCATCATTTTATTGTGTAGATTTTGTGCAATTCATTGTTTCTGAGCACTATAGCACTTCCGCACAAAAGGGTATAATGTCAAGGTTATATTTGTATTTCTGTAGTAATTTTCTTTTGCCAGATTGAAATTCCTGTATTGATGTTGTAAGTTAATGATGCCAAATCATTTTAGAAAGCTGCCACCTGATTGGCTGAAAAGGCCACGCATCATTCATCAGATTTGGCAGTCAAAGGTTTATGTAGTTGCCCTGAGATCTTAATGCAGACCGTATGAGAGTAAGCATGTGATATCAATGATATCGGGTATGGTGCACTGTCTGAGATCTTGATGCAGACAGTATAAGAGATGTGATATCAATGATATCGGGTATGGTGCACTGTCTGAGATCTTGATGCAGACAGTATAAGACATAGCATCTGATATCAATGATATCAGGGTATGGTGCACTGTCTGAGACCTTGATGCAGACAATGTATCAGAATGCACTGATATCAATGATATCAGGGTATGGTGCACTGTCTGAGATCTTGATGCAGACAGTATGTATAAAAGATATCAGGTATGGTAAGCATGTGATATCATATCAAAGATATCAGGGTATGGTGCACTGTCTGAGATCTTGATGCAGACAGTATGAAAGTAAGCATCTGTCTGAGATGGTGTGTTCGTGAGTGTGTGATATCATTCATATCTAGGTGATCCATGTGAATGTCTGTGTACAGAAGCATATTTGAGGGTAAATGAGGGTTACCATGGTAGATGTAGACAATTCCTGAAATGATTGATGGGCCTATATGTTATGTGTCTTGTTTGTGTCTATGGTGTTTTATGTCGTCATGGGAATTAAATATGGGTTTGGATAGTCAGCAAATTTTAGAATTTTATAATATGAATTTCATAGGCTGTGTGTTGGTATTGCAAATCGTCCATCAGGTATCATATTTTGTCCATGCGCTATATTAAAATGTCCATGAGCCATTAAAAATTGTCCTTGAACTATCATAATTTGTCCATTAGTTTTCGTATGCGAACCATGATATATTTTCCATGAGCTACCATAAGCTATCATATATTGTCCATAAACTATCATAAATTGTCCATGAGCTATCTTCTTGTCTGTGAGCAATGGACAGTCCATGAGTTACACTGGTTATATATGGCCCCAGGAGCTACATTGTCCAGGGGCTATGATGTATAGACCATGGGTTGTCTTTGGTGAGCTATTGTGTATGGTCTAGCTTGTGCATAGACAAACCATAAAGTATTTCCTACACTTTAGTTGTTTAATGATGTTCTAGTTGAAACAGTCATGTTATGGCGGGATCAGTGGCGCTCCATCGCCCTCGCTGACAACAGACAAGCTAGCCATTAAACGTGGTGTGTAACATCAACACAAGTTCCCGGCAGATGGGGATATTTGTGGCCTCACATTTGCTTGTGTAAGTCCGAGTTAAATCTAAGTCGATGTACACGTATAGAAAGTGGAGATAATTGTGTTGCGATCTTTTGCCGCTCTATTGTCCCCATATGGCTGTATGGAACAGAGGTTGCTGGAAGATTGCTAAAACCTCTGTGGGAAAGAATGATATGGCCCAGGAGTTACAGTCCAGGAGCTATGATGTATAGACCATGGGTTGTCTTTGGACATTGTTATAATAAACCTTAAAGCGCCAAGTAATGGAGTAAAGATATTTTATGTCAGTTTTATTGATAAACTATTTGAACCCATTGCACAAATTGACAGTTTCATAAACAAAATGCACGATATCACAATAAAATTAACAAATGAAACAAATACTGGTTTGCACATTTTGAACCTGTTTGGAATTCTATCCAACTGAAACCATTTATCAAAGTGCTTGTGACAGACTTGGTTAAAATTGTTTGAGATTTATAGCTTTTATCAGAAAACATATCACACCTTATTGACCATGTGGGTGGTGGGGTAGCCTAGTGGTTAAAGGGTTTGCTTGTCTCGCCAAAGACCCAGGTTGGATTCCCACATGGGTACAATGTGTGAAGCCCATTTCTGGTGTCCCCTGATATTGCTGGAATATTGCTAAAAGTGGCATAAAGCTAAACTCACAACAACTTACCTTGTGTAATAGCTCTTGGACCAACTCTGCAATCAGACATCACATTCTATCATATGAGAGCATATTTGAAATTGTATGTATTGTCTATACAATCACATTTAGCATGGTCTGTGATCTTTGATGTACAGTCTGGGGTCTGTCATTTACCTTTCATGGTCTGTATCCATCTGATGTATCGTCCAGTCAGTTGAGTTTCATTAGTCAGAACTCTCCATAACATAAACCTCTCCATAACATAAACCTCTCCATAACATAAACCTCTCCATAACATAAACCTCTCCATAACATAAACCTCTCCATAACAAGCCCTCACTTTGTGCAAAGCGTTGTCTCGTCACGCCGAAGACCCGGGTTCGAATCCCCACATGGGTACAATGAGTGAAGCCCATTTCTGGTGTCCCCAGCCGAATATTGCTGGAATATTGCTAAAAGCGGCATAAAACCAAACTCAGTCAGTCAGTCAGTCACTTCGTGCAATCCTTCACTTTCATTCCTCAGGACAGTGTTATATATGTAATGCAACAATGATATTGTAGGGTGAAGGTTGTCACCATGGTTACTGTAGCCAGAGGTTTTTGTCTCAATTTATGGTACAGAAAAGTCATCAGTAACCATGATAAACATGGGTGTAGGTGTAGCGGATAGAGTAGTCAATAGAGTGAGCTAGAAAACTGAATCTTGAGTTTGTTGACTGGAATACCCTTTTCTCCCTGGCATGTAATGTGGAGGATAAAGTTAATGTCTGTCTGTCTGTCTGTCTGTCATAATTTCGTTTCCAAAGCCCAACTCAAAAACTGTTCAATATATTTCAACCAAAGTTGGCAGATATACTGAGAGAAGCAAATAAAGGAACACAGGAAAATTCAAGTGTTCCATTAATATTTTCCAGTTTTCATCACCAGCTTTTAATAGTGCTGTGGGAGGAAATCTGAGAATAAATAAAGGAACACTGCCATGAAGTGGTGTTCCCTTATTTGTTTCCCTCAGTATATATCAAACAGATCCTGAAGCGGTAGCTTTTGTTATTGTTGTTTTCAGCTCTCGATTTCAAGGGAAACAATTTGTAAGCCTCATACAACAGGTTTGATCTAGAGCACAACTCAAAAACCATTCCTTATCTTTCAACAAACCATGCAGATACATCAAACAGATCCTCAAGTGGAACTTATTGCTGTTTGCAGACATTCTTTTGCATTTGTATATTTTCCTGTTGGTATGTAAACACCCTAGACTTAGCTGATAAGGAGGTAGGTGACTTTTGCAGAGCAGAAGTAAGAAACTATTCATTCAACAGTAGGGCTGTGTATTGGCAAATAAATTGTATTGCAATATATTGCGATTCAGGTACCCGTATAGCGATACGTATTGCAATATATTGCGTGTATAGCGATACATATTACAATATATTGGGGCAATATATTTGGGCCTTATAAGTCCCTAAATGTTTGATGGTTCTGTGAGTGACACTGTGGCGATATTTTTTCTTTACACAAATATTATAAGTCCCTAAAAGTATATGTTATGGTTCTGATAACAGCATTCTCAAACTTAGATTGCATCTCAATATTATGTCAGGGATTCTAGTTTTATTTTACATAAATATATAGAATTTCAAAATGCCGTTTGTCATTGAATAACGAAGGAAACATCTGTTGTGAATGAAAGTCTGTGTACATTTTAATTCATGTGTGTTCTTTACTCAATATACTGGTTTTCAGAAAAAAACATTATATATGTATCGTTTGTAACGGTATTGTAGTATACCGGTATAACTGTGCAGTCCTATTAAACAGTTTTCATCAAAACTTGGGACATGCATTCATCAGGGGCTGAAGTGGTGCCTTCGCAGATTACTAATCTTTAATAGGTACATTTTAGTCCTGTTTCATTGGTTTGATTTTGACTGTGTTCATTGTGGTATGTTTGTCCAGACCATCTCTCTAAACCTAATATTGACAGGTATCTAAGTCATTTAAGATTGTTTTTATCAATATACACATGTATATTTTTCACAGTCACAATATGGGGGCGGTGGGGTAGCCCAGTGGTTCAGGTGTTCGCTCGCCATGCCGAAGACCCGGGTTCGATTCCCCACATGGCTAAAAGCGGTGTAAAACCAAACTCACTCACTCACAGTCACAACATAGCTGAAACACTGCCAATGCGACTTAAGAATTTAACTCACTCACTTTAGAACCAATAGATTTTCCTGCACACAATTACCAAACACAACTGATGCCTTTTGCTATTTAGGGATTTTTAGAACATATATTTTTTCTGTTTCCATGGCAACAAGTTTGACTTTGTGTGCTTGATACAAGCATATGAAGTTCCATATTCCAATTCCTTGGTGTTGATTTGATAACTTAGTAAATACGTGTTTGAGATAAGGACAATGGGTTGGTGAATCAGATAAGGACAAACTTTATGGATGAACAACTTCTTTATTCGGGTAATGCGACATTTTGATACAGATTGTTGTATCGTTGTCAAGCAAGTATGAGTTAGGTATCGAAACGTCGCATCACCCGAATAAAGAAGTTGTTCATCCATAAAGTTTGTCCTTATCTGATTCACCAACTTCTAAATATGCCACTCAAAGAAAATATGTGTGTATTCGTACAGAGAGATTAGATAGAAATTCTCTCATTAAATGTAAGTTCAACAAAATACCAGTCAGATGAAGACTTTTATGGAGAAGCATGTACAATGTGATTGACAACCCCCCCCCCCCCATTACATGTGTATAAAATTGATGACCACCCCTACCTCCCCAGAACAAAGTGAGTGGGGAACAGGCACGCCACGCACACGCACATGCTCACACACACACACATGAGAGAGAGATCCCGTATGTTATGTGTTTGAACAGGTCTGTGTCCACTGTTTGGCTACAAGTCTTTTCTCTCTTAAAAGCAATGATTTTCTGCTGATATCACGGGGGACCTATCACTGCATAATATCAAACTGAAGCTTCAGGGAATATTTCTTTTCGCGATTAATTGGTAGCACGTTTTTTGTACTTTACTCACCTTCATCAAAGTTGTTTTTGCTCTGTGTGGAACCTGATAAATATGACCAGTATTTTGACAAAATAAAAATCAAACAGCTTCACAGATCATGTTAGGAATGTTCCACATGGTGAAGAGAAATATGCAGTGAAACGATGTAAAGTTGGACAGTTGTGTTTACAGAAAGTTGCCTTAATATTTAGGCTCCCTTGTGATAGAATCTTGGTTTAGAGTTATGTCCCTTTGATCATATGTTGCGTTCGATGTTGATAATGCCGGATTTGGAATGTCCATGAGTCAACGACTTTTTAATATCAACTTCTATATTTTGTAACACAGTGTTTCGGAGTTATTTCAAGATGGAGTAAGAAC